TAAGATTTTTTTTGTTCGCGGGCGTAATCCCTTTCTGGAAGGCCTTGAAAAAGGGGTGAACGATTGACAGTTAAATATTCCCGACGCGTATTTTTTCCCGAATTAATTAGACGATATGACATTAATTAGAATTATTTGATTTCGACTATGGCTCCTTTTTCTTTCATTTTCTTTTGGAATGCTTCGGCTTTGTCCCGGGGAATATCCGCTAGAATAATTTGTTCTCCCCCTTCGGCGAGTTTTTTGGCTTGAAGTTTAGTAATTTCTTCTCCTTTTAATTCCTTAACGGCTGCGACGATATCTCCTAGAACTGGCACTATGCTGGCCCCTTCTTTTTCCATTTTTACTCATTTAACAGCCACTTTACCACTTTTTTCCTCAACTTTTTCGGTGGATTGGGTTCCGGCTGTTGGTTGAATTACGGCTGTCTCTTGGATATTATAATCCTCTTTTAAACTTTCGACCAACTCGCTAACTTGACCAATATTTAAACTTTTTATTTTTTCTTTGATTTCGTTTACTTCTGAACTAATTTTTATTTCTGACATATTACTTATTTTTGGCTGTGCAATTTGCTATTCTCTGACTTCTTTTTCTAACTTTCTAACTCTTTCTTGTGAACTACCCACCACTTATAGAAGTGGGGGCTTCTCGGTTCCTAGACAAGGCTATCACCTAGTCTCCCCGAAGGCTCAAACCGAGCCATTCTTGCCAACTAGCAAGTGTTCGTGAGAACTTTATCTCCATTTATCTCATGGAGTTATTTCATCCTTTGTTTATACTTTTAAGTATATGTTATATTTTAGCAATTCATCCCACCACCTAAAAGAGGATGGGGGACTTCTTGCTAACTTGGGTTAAATCTCTATTCTACCATCTAGTATTTTTTAAATCTCTCTGGATAATTAATTTCAATTTTGGCACCATATTCCGAACCTAAATGTTGTTGTAATTGTTCTTTTAGTCAATTAATTTCTGCTTCTTTCTCGGTTAAGACTTTTTGCTCTTCACTCAAAGCCAGTTTTAATTCTTGATTTTTCTCTTTGATTTTTTGGGTTTCATTTTTCAAAGCAGCAAAAGAAAGATTACTAATATTGCTATTACTGGGAAACAGTATGGTGGCTAAGTCCCGTAATTGGGACTGGAAGTTAGTTTTGGTTTTATTATGTTGTTGCTGTTCTTTTTCTAATTCAACTTTTAGTTTGGTTTTGGCTTCTTCTAATAGTTGGACTTTTTGTTCCAATCTTTCAATTTTTTTGGTTTTATCAGTTTGGTCTTGTTTAGTTGCTTGGAGTTCTTGCTGAGTTTGTTGAATTTTAGTTTCTAAGTCTTGGATTAATTTTTGCTTACTTTCTAAATTGTTATCAAAAGTTTTTATTACTTTGTCAAAATTAGCCAAACGTCAAGCTTCTAAATCGTAGTCAAAAGGTCGCAATTCATTTTGAATAGCCGAGCATTTAGCATTAGTATTGTGTGGGGAACATTCAATTCTTTTATACCGTCCTCTCTCTTTGGTTTCTTTAGCTAAACTTTCCGGCAAATATTCTAATCCTTCATTAATGTCAGTGGCTTCAATGCAAATGTCATTTAATTTAATTAAGTTTTGGTAAGATTTAAAAGAACCATAGAATTTATTGTGTTTACCTCATTTTTCCAAACCCTTTTGCTCGGTTCCTATTTTCAACCTATATAAGTTAACAAACTTACTAAATACTTCAATGTTGGTGGATTGAATATTATTATTGTAAATTACTAATATTTCTAATTTTTCGGGATGCGGTAAACTGTTAAGAAAATCAACAGTGGTTAAATTATTTGTGTGACAATATAAGGATTTAATTTTTGAACATTCACTTAAATCAATACTAGTTAATAAATTATTAGAACAACTTAGTTTTTCTAAATTCACAAAATTACTGAAATCTAAATGGCCTTCTAAACAATTTTTGCTACTACTATTGCTACAACGGATACTAATGATATCTAGATTTAAATCAGTTATTTCTTCTCTTCTTTTTCCGAAATTATTAGTCCCATAAGTTCCTTCTAAAATACAAGTTCCGTTTTTGGGATAATATTTATCCAATCATTCTTGAGCATTTACCATAATATTAATAATTTTATACTTTTGTGGTTATAGGGTCGTCTTTTGTTCTTTAATTTTTTCTAAAATATTAACAAGTCTTCGGGTCTGATAATTGAGATAATAACATAAAGTATTTATTAATATTTCTTTGCTAGGTAAATTGGCTCATTTTTCAAGAAGTGTATGGGCAACTAATTTTTGTTCGTAAATGCCGCCTTGAAAACGTTTGATACCGGAATGACGCTTAGCGAACTGATTAAGAATGTTTAAGGGTTCATATTCGTCCCCTTGGCAAAAAATGAACGCATTAGCCTGCTTTAATTCCAAAGAATAATCAGAGAGGGCTTTTTCTACTAAACTATTTTTATAAACTTTTCAATAGCCACCCACCTTTTTTAATTCTTTTTTTAATTTGAAGAGTTTGCGGTTTTCGGCGTGGTGAAAATTGTAGAAAATTACAGCCCGGGCTTGTTGAAAATTATTTTTAATGTCTTGGACGATGGCTTGTTTCTGACTGGTGGCAGACATATATATTATATTTTACAGTTTATGGTCTTACGAAATTGCTTTACTTTATTTGGGTTTTTCGTTTTTTTCACTCGGTTAAAAACAAATCCTTATTCTTTTTTACAATTCTTTCAGTTTCGTTTTGCTCCTGCTCCGAGACTCGTCCTTTAATTTTTTTT